AGAGAGGTCCAACACTTGTAAGTCTGCAAGACGACACAAATTGGAAGGAATACTACCAAAGAACTCATTGGACCTGAGACTCAGAAAGACCAAATAAGTCCAAGTATCTCCCACCCATATAGGTATATTACCAATCAACTTATTTTGGGAAAGATCAATAAAAGTCAAGGAAGTACAATTTCTCAAAAATGTTGGAATTTCTCCAGTGAAACTATTGTTTTGTAAGTACAATGATGAGGTGACATTTATTGATGGGATCTTTCCAGAGAAATTATTATGCGCTAGATTAAGATAATACAAATTTCGCAGGTTTGCAAAACAATCCGAAAGCTGTCCAGAGAGTAAGTTATTCGAGAGGTCAAGATATTCCCAATAACAACCAGTTTCATTGCATAAATTGGTAATTGACCCAGAAAATTTGTTTCTCGATAAATCCACTACAGATCCATTCGGAGGAAAATTGGTAATGAACCAATGAAATGATTAAAGCTTAGATCTATCGAACCAAAAGTAGAGAACTTCAGAGACAAATCCGGAAGGACACCACAAAAATTGTTATGTGATACATTTAAACTCTGTAATTTTGGACTTGACTCCCAAAACCAATCAGGGAAGGTGCCTGAAATTTCAGCATTAGAGATATCAAGATCCTCTAATCTTGTTTGTGTTCTAAGCCATGTGGGAAAATGTGGACCCACCTTGCAGTGCGCTAAAGACACATGTGTCAGTTGAAAAGGAGGATTCCATCCTAAACTGATATTGAAGGAGATGCCTGGGTTGGAAGACAAGTACAACCCTTGTAATTGGGAAAGATTAGAGAAATGGGATTCAGTGATTATGTCTTGAAAGTTGTTTGAATGAAGAAACAAAACTTCGAGTTTGGAAAGGTTTCCTACGCACTGGGCAGTGGTACCATTAAACATATTATGAGAAAGATCCAATTCTATTAACGAGGAAGATGATGTAGGAAAATGCACTTTCCTTGTGAGTTGGTTATCATATAAATTTAAAGACATTAAATTGCTCATATTCCCCAAGGATATTGGAATCTCACCTTGTTTTTTGTTGGAATTGAGGCCAAGGGAAGTAAGGCTACTGCTTAAGTTAAGAACCAAAGGAAATATCCAAGAAGAAGAGAACTCAT